AGATGCTTTTCGATTGACTGTTAAAATCTGATCCCTTTATATAAATAATATCATTCATTTAGTAAAATTTAGAATTTGTATTTTAATGTTAAACAGAAGTGCACCATCGTCCAACTTATGTTTTATGTTTATTTTAACAAATTTGCTGAAAGAATGATCTCTTAGAAATGTTAGAAATATGTTATAAATATTTTAGAAATATGTTAGATATATGATCTCAAAAAATAGAGCAAACTAAATGATTATATGATTATATTGAGAAAGTTTACAAATATATTATATCTGCCATCTCAGTGAAAAAGGGCTCGCCCGTAGGTAAGCGGTTAAGAGCGATGAGATCTGAATCAGAGGTCCCGGGTTCGATACCCACTTCGAGCAGCTTGTTGTCAGGCAGCAGTGACAACGATTATCACTTAGAAATATAGATAGTAACATGTTTCCAAGTGAAAATAGCCCTAACCCGGCATTGCTGCACCAATAAAAAAAACAATAAACACCAATAAATAATATATCATATAGAGATATGACAACTGATTGGGTTGCCATCTGTCAAATAGACCAGTATTGAGTCAAATCAGCTAAATAATTTAAAAAAAAAATCCAAGTGAATAAGTGGTTGAGTCAATTTTCACTATTTTGCAAAACTTGATTTGAAAGTACTATTACTCGTGTAATATGGCGTATTTGAAATCATTTGTTTAAATTTTATATAAAGTGCTTCAATAACTTTTGTTCATAACAGATAGTTTTTCAATTTGATAACTATTTTCAAAAAAAAACTAGTGGGGTGTATGGCATCGTAGCTTAAGGCAAATTGCTGGAACTTTCCGTACCGTAACGAAATGTTCGAGGAATACTGAATGTTTTCAAATAGATTATTATAAATATTGTAACATTGTCAATTTATAATAATTATATAAACTGAATTGCAAAATTGAAATTATTTGTTTAAAATATATTAAAACTATAATCAGAATTAAAAATAAAATCTGAATTATTTTCAATATACAAAAAAAATTTGAAAAAAAAGTTGAAACAAAATTTTTTTTTCCAAAATCAATTATTCTGTTAACACAAGCAGAAAGTTTTTTGAATCACTTAAATCGGACGCTTAGTTCTCTCAAAAACTGTAATTTTTTCCGCATTTAGCTCCGTATCTTCGAAATGGCTAGGCCTGCCTTTGCCAAAAACTAATAAACACTTCTCCCAATCATTACTAATTGAATGTTTAGATCATTCAAATCGGATACTCCTTTCTCTCAAAAACTCGATTTCTATTTTCTGCACTCTTTGCTCTTTATCTCCGTAACTGCTGGACCTGCCTTTGCCAAAAACTAATCAGCACATCTCCCTATCATTAGGAATCGAATCTTTTTTGAACCATTAGAATCGGTTGATCCGTGCGCCCGAAAACGTGGACGAAAAATTGTATCCATACATACATACACACACACACATACACACACATATCCATTTTTTCTGAGGTATGCCAAAATATTCAGAAACCCTCAAAACGTCGAGAAATGTAAAAATTTTTAATTTCGATTTTCGGCCTATTACAATAACTTACCCTACGGGAAGTTAACTAGTTGATACCGCGATTTAAAACATTTTTGCCAATATTTAGCCTAACCACCTATTCACTGGGATAGCAGATCAGATATAGTTTATATTTGTTGAAATATCTTATTTGGCTTTAATTAATAACTGATATTATCATTGTCAAATTGGTATATTCCTACTATACTGTATACAATGCTTTTTAATCAAAGATTTGTATTTAATTTCGAATTGTTTTTATATTTTGTCTATTTTCAAAATAGTTGAAACTGACATGAGCATTTGGCGTGTATTTTTGCTATATAAATTTTAAACCATGGTTTTTGAACAAATATCAGTAATACATTTCAGCATTAGCAACATTGTCATCAGCTTGTCCCGCGCCATTTCCAACCGCCTCATCTTCCTCTTCTTCAAGACATCGCAGATTGCTAAGTTCAGCCATGAGTTCCTCTTTGCGCAATTTGGCAGCTTCGATTTCCGCCTTGATGACGTCTATATCATCTCCACCTTTTCCTCCCAAATTTTTCCGCACGTAGTCCAGAGCATTTTCTGGTTTTTCGAGCTCCTCGTACAATTCCACCAGAACACGAGTAAGGGCATCCATTATACCAGATTGCTCCAGATATTTTCGAAATTCTTCGCGCTTTGAGTCAACTGGTTTGTAGTTAGACATTTTTGTAAGAAAATTCGGAACGAAATTATTTTATTTTTATAATGCACTTTGACGCTCTATTATTGTTAATCTTGGTTATGATTTTTATAAATAAATGAAGTTTTGCTCGTGCTTTGTTTCATTGAAATTGACATAAGCAATGACATTAATGCTTGATTTTATTTACAGATGAAACTAATTTTATATAATGTTTTTCCTAACGTATTGTGAGATTAAATTTACATACTTTATCCAAATGATGAGACGCATGTTACACATTTCAATATCATACATCTATTGGCTTGTTGGTAGATTTTCTTCAATAACTTACGATTTTCATCAGTAAAATAATTTTCCATAATTTACAAGAAAATATTTTCATTGTAATTAATTAATTATATTATTGAACCTAAGATTTAATTAACACATTATTTTAAGCATCAACATCATTTTAAAATAAATCGAAATTAAGACAGCGAAATTTGTGTATGTTAATGTGCAGGTATTTTATAAAATTTAGTTTTTTTATTTACTCACAAGATTGTTAGTTCAAATAAAACATTATCCCTTTTTTGTAATTTCTATATTAATTACTACATTAATAATAATAATAATTTCTATATTAATTGCTTGCAATGCGTATAATTTTTTTATGCTTTGTTTTACTTTTGTTTGTGCAAGTCTGTGAATGTTTCAAGTGTTATAATGTAGAATTTTATTGCGGTTATAATATAATTAGTATATTTTGAAGCCAAATAAAATATATTAAGAAATAATACGATAAAGTTCCAAGTTGCAAAAAAAAAAACAATGTGTTTTCTGACTCTAGTAAAGGGTCCGAAAAATTATAGAGATACTCTTTAGACAGTCTTTTTGCGTACTTTTTCTATTATATCTTGTCAGTTATATTTTGAATATGGAAGTTATGATTTTTTGGTAATTATTTTTACTATGTGCGTATGCATGTATTTTTATAAATGAAAATAATTTATGTAATGAAATAAAAATCTTTGAAAATAATTCCAGATATTGACGTTATACTAATTCACTCGCGATTATTTATTATAGACCTTATACTACCTATATATAAGGTCTATGTTATTTATACATAAATAACCGTTTACCTAAAAAATAATGATTATTATTTATTTAATTTCTCTTCATACCAAAATCCATATACATCAATATGCGCGATGTTAAATGTAGAACTGCTTTAAATAAAATGGCGAGTCTTAATTCACACACTATATTGGAAATTGATGTCTTTTAAACGGTACAACAAATTCAGGAGAAATTAATATATTTTATAGTATCCGCGGTAAAAGTACAATATTACCTTGAATTTTTTTCAACCAAAATCTTATATTTATATTATTTTAATTTCTAGCACATCTCAGCAGCTTTTTGTCAATAATATTGCAGACATTTCATTTTTCTTATTCATAATCATTTAAAAAATGCTCTTTAAAATAACGCTGGCTGTATAGTGCAGTAAACGGAGCGTTTTAGGTCTGAATTTTTTTACTGTGCTCCGAATTGAATGAAATTTTGGAATTAGGTTCATCTAACCCTCAAGTTCAAAAGTGAAAACAATTCGGATTGCGCCATCACTCCCCGGGGGATGACACCCCCTCTCAATTGTGTAATTACATTTTTTTAAATAACGTCGGAAATCGATAGGAGAACTAATTATAAGAAAAAAATGTCTCTTATAGTTTTTCAAAAAAACTAATACTTTTCAAGTTACTGTCCACTAAAGATTCATATATTTTTGGCGTTTTTCTTCGTTTTTTTGCAAATTTCTCCTAAAATATACATTTTAACGAAAATCATGTAATGAACAAAATATTGTCAATAAAAATCTTAATAAATCGGTATTAGATAAAGCGTTCTACGAAAAATATTAAGCAAGATTTGAAAGAGCAAAGTCGTTTTTTATTTCGTTCAAGATTTAATTGTTGTATTTAAAGCCATCTAGTGTCGAGGTTTTACATTTTATGAATTTCGGTAAAATTGGGTTTTATAGTGCTCAACATAAGCTTTAAAATGAGTGCTGTTACAAGTTTTTTGCGTGTAAAATGAGTGAGCTATCATGCAAATAAGAAGCATATACGAAGTTTTTTTCTTTTAAATCATATGGTTTAATGAGCGCCATTTCCACCAGAAATAAAGTAATTCACATTCCATCTAGAATTCACTTCATTATAGACATCTTGATGGATTCTAGCAGATTTACTACTTTAGTACAAATTATTTTCAGAAAATTCACGATTTTATAAAAACTTTTTTTTCCATTCATAAAATGAAATTCATAAAATGTAAAACCTCGACACTAGATGGCTTTAAATACAACAATTAAATCTTGAACGAAATAAAAAACGACTTTGCTCTTTCAAATCTTGCTTAATATTTTTTCTAGAACACTTTATGTAATATCGATTTATTAAAATTTTTATTGACATTATTTTGTTCATTACATGATTTTCGTTAAAATGTATATTTTAGGAGATACTTGCAAAAAACGAAGAAAAACGCCGAAAATATATGAATCTTTAGTGGCCAGTCCCCCCGGGGGGTGATCGCGCAACCCGAATTGTTTTCACTTTTGAACTTGAGGGTAAGATGAACCTAATTCCAAAATTTCATTCAATTCGGAGCACAGTAAAAAAATTCAGAGGTTATACCCTTTTTTCCTCTCCGTTTACTGCACTAGTAGTATTATTTCGATAAATTTATATTACATTAATCATTCGTAATTAATTAACTACTGATTTTAATATTTCAGATGTTGAAGAGATTTCAACAAGACTAGCTTTGATAAGTGCAGCTAGTGCCTCATTGTCTGATTGTACTCATCCTAATAATATCGTGTCGACGACCCCCGATTCTAACCAAGATGGAAATTGTTCGAATTTAGAACAGTTATTAGGTAAACTAGTACTTTTTAATAATTAACACAAATCAAAGTAGTAAACTACAATGATTTTTATCTTGAGTTGCATATTTATTCATAAAAATTTTAGCCGGAAAATCTACATCAAGACATCCTGGACGAGTTAACATCTATATAGAAGATAATGAAGCATAGTGAAAGACATTTAAATCGAAAATAAGTACAAAATCTCGTGTTGTAAGGTGCAAAATAATATAGTTTATAATTTTAAAAATTATTTTATACATAATTAGATTCTACTTGTATTTTGAATGATTGATAATTCCTTAACTTAATGAAAATTTTATAATATAATTCATATTTATTGATAAATGTTGTTTTATTGATATTGGGACTTTAGAATCTAAAGTTTGGATGTTATTTATGTAAAAATATTGTTTTATAATATTTGTAGTATTCGTTAGAAATATCTGCATGTTTGTGCTTCTTATGCGACTTTTATTGGTTTCTGAATTAATTGCGAATAAATAATTCCCGAAATGTGAAAGTAGAAGTGAAATAAATCTGTACTGATATGATTTCTTTCAAATAGTAATTTTGATTCAAAAGGGCGAACTGCAAATGTCCTCGTAAATTTGATTAGTTATTTGATTTATTATTCAACATATTTTATCTACATATATTGTATTTGATTCACTCTTAAGGTCTTAATTTTGAGTTTTTGATTTCCTGTACATATTTCTTCTATTGCTGGTTACTTCAATCATCTACATCCATTCTCGACTCAGCCTTTTCAAATCTTTCTCTTTATTTTAGAATTGTGATCTGTAGAGTGCTTTGTTCTTCCATTATTCTTAGTACTTTTATAATTTTATAGATTTATTTTGATGTTTTACATTTTAAAACTCACTTAATTGCATTGGTCATTTTTTCTCAGAATCAATATCCAAAATCCAGACAGGTAGCACCATGTAGCACTGATTACAATTTATATCTCAAGTGAAAATGCTGGTCAAGTACTGATTTCTACCGCTAACTTTGGGGTCTTAACACTTCTCTGGTAGTCTGGTCCATACTATATTGTCATATCGATGTTATTTTGACGATTTTATGATTCGGTTACTATTTCAGGCTAAACATTCTTTTTAATCTCACTTTTCTAATCCCTTATCACTTTTATTGATTCTTCCTATCTTTCAACTCTTTGCATAGAATTCTAAGCATTTTATTGAAAATCTCGATTCTTTCTACGCCGTTCATTAGACTGTCTAATATAATAAATTTAGCCGTATTTACTATTTCAAATTTGATAAATATGTAATTACCAGCTATGGCATATTGACTGCTGAGCTTGAATTTATTTCATGATATTATGATATATACGCCAATAATTTTAGAAAATTAAAACTGCTATAGATTAAACATACCATAACTATTGTAATAGTGAGAGACCCAATTAACTTTCTGAAGAAGAAATTTGTTCTCGAGAAAAAATCTGATTATCTAATTTTATGTTCTTGACGTTTCAATTTTGAATCGATTGAGAGCAAATTTGGATTGGAAGTTGCATTGGTTACATTTTAGGAAACGGTCGGTTTGTTTGAAATGTTGAAAAAAAAGTTTCACGATTTGCATGAAACTTTGTATAACGATAGATTTTGTAGTCTAATTTAACATAGTGAAATATTATACGCCCACGGTAAGCAGTTGAATTATAAGAATCTAAGATGAAGCATATGTATCTGTAGTCTTTCGTAATAAATTTTATTGATAGAACACGAAATAGATGAAATAAACTAGCTGTAAGTGGAATTCTGTCTTAAGGCAATTAAGGCATCGTGCCTTAAGGCAAATTGCTGGAACTTCCCGTACCAAAAATTATTATTTTTTTAAAAACAATTAACATTTTTGAAAAAATTTTACTTCGAAAAAAATAGATTTTTGAGAAACTATAAATTTGACAAAAAATTCCTTTTTTTAAAACAAAATGTTTTTTTGAAAACAAATTTTTTTGAAAAGAAAAATGTTTTTTTATTTTGACATATTTTGGAAATTCTGAACTTTTTTTCAAAGCAATCGTATTGCTTGAACTGCATAGAGACGAAATGTCAAAGCGCGCAAGTGCCGCGCCGCCGTCTAAGCATTGGTACGGAACCCATAGAAATGTAAAAAAAAATATATTTATTATTAAAATATCTGATAATTTGATGTGCATATGTCTAATGGTCATTTTTAACCGCCAAATGGCATTTTTTTTACTTTTTACATTAGATCTCCAAAACTGCTAGACCTGCCTTCATGAAAATTTGATCAATTCTTCATTTTGTCAATACAAGTAAAATGATTTTTGAATTATTCAAATCGGACGCTCCGTTCTCTTAAAAACTGAGTTACCGTTTTCGGCAACTTTATGTACATAAATGTCCAATAAACATTTTTGACCGCCAAATGACATTTTTTTAACTTATTTTTATCGAAAGTCCATAACCGCTGGACCTGCCTTTCCAAAAATTTGATCAGTTCTTCATCTTGTCAATACAAGTAAAATATTTTTTGAATTATTAAAATCGAACGCTCCGTACTCTTAAGAACTGAGTCGCCGTTTTTGGCACTTTTTGCCCCGTATCTTCGGAACGGCTAAAACTGCCTCCGCCAAAAATAAATCAGCACGTATTCTTAACAATACGAATCGAATGTTTTTTGAATTATTCAAATGGATTGATCAGTGTTCCCGAAATCGTCGACGAAAATTTGTATCCGCGCACACACACACAAATACATCCATTTTTTCTAATTTTAAGGTATGGCAAGATATTCAGAAACCTTTGAAACTCTAATTGAAATCGAAATTTTCATTTTCGATGTTTTTGCGATTACTATAACTTGCCCTACGGGAAGTTAACTAGTTAATTTACTTTATAGAATTACAGATAAGTATGTTTAAAAGACATCAATTTAAAATTCCTGTTTATTACGTTGATTATGTATATGTATCGGAAAATTCATGCAACTTGCCTTAAGGCGAAATGATACTTACAACTAGTTTTTCCAAAATCTTAGAACCTAAATAGATTTGATCGTAATTTTATTTTACTTTATAGAAGTTTGAATATTACTCTCTAATTGCCTGCAAAAAGCAGCGTTTAAAGTAACCGTTTGTTGCATTACATCAGGCAACATACATGGAGTAAACAAGAATGACATTAGATTCCAACATAATGTCCCATAATGTCAGTGGCATGAAATTTTTGAAGAAGTGCTTAATCTTGTTTCAAAGTTCTAGGTTATGATTAAAATATGTTAAGTGGTGTAAAACACATATTTTTAGTCCTTTCAGGTAAAGGAGGTGTAGGAAAATCTACCGTCAGCACTCAACTTGCTTTAACTCTTAAAGAGCAAGGTTATAAGGTATATTTGTTTACAACAATCTTGTATTATAAGTGCATATAGTTGCCAGACGATATTATCTCTATATCTATATTTTGTAATAGCATTAAATTCTTCTTTAGGTAGGTATTCTGGATATAGATTTATGCGGCCCAAGTGTTCCTTTTTTGTTAAATATCGAAGATGCAGAGGTATGTCAGTGTCCTGAAGGCTGGTTACCAGTGTATACGGATGAAAATAAAAATCTTGCAGTAATGTCCATAGCGTAAGTTACTTATGTAACAGGATCTAAATATTATTTAAAATATTGAAACATGATTTGAAATTGCATTTTCATAGAAAATAAAATAATGTATCTTTTTCAGATTTCTGCTAAAATCTAGAAATGATTCCATAGTATGGCGAGGACCAAAGAAAACTAGCATGATTCGTCAATTTATAAATGATGTATATTGGAATGAAATTGACTATTTAATAATTGATACCCCACCAGGTAAATATCTCATTTTTAAATACATTGCATAACATAGTTTATTTACTTATTTATTTATTCAACGCCAAAGGCAATAATACAATATAATTACATTTTAAAGTGTACAAATTATAAATTAAAGATAATATATGATGAAATTCCAGTATTAAGAGTTCATAGATAGCTTTGTATATATTCATAACGCTTAATATAAACTACAAATATATAATATTAAATAAAAACTAATAATATTAAATATTTAATAAATTATAAATCACTACTTAAGACGGCCATTTAAGGATAATTTTTCTGGCTTGATTTTTTATATTTGTCACCGACAGACCAAAGAAACCAATCTCAGAAGCAAATTCATTTATTATTTTTGATATTCTGAACATGGGTGCACGTGAAACAAATTTGATTTTAACTGTAGGTATTTCCGAAGTTCTGTTATTAATTAACTTAACATTTGGAACGATAAATTTGAAGCGGCTAAAGCACCTTTCACAATAATTGCTCCATAGCAGAAGGTGAGATATTTTCTTCTAGCATCGAGTGGCGTAATGTTAAAATGGTTGTACATTTGGGACCGACTTATCTGAATATTGTTCTTGTATTTGCGGAACTTTACATGATTGACAAATTTTTTCTGGGCAGATTCAATACTGTCAATTTGATATTGGTAAATCGGGTCCCAAATTATACACCCATACTCTATATATATTGGTCTAACTAAGTAATAGATGTAAACTAATAGTTGTTTGTTTTTATAGGAACTTCTGATGAGCATATTACAGTTATGGAGTGCTTAAAAGAGGTAGATTTTGATGGGGCAGTCATTGTAACTTCACCTCAAGAAATTTCATTAGAAGATGTCAGAAAAGAAATAACATTTTGCAAGAAAACTGGCATTAAGATATTAGGAGTCATAGAAAATTTGAGCGGGTAAATATTAAAAGCATTAGGATTAGTGACAAATAATGCACATGCAAATTTATCGTTTTACCATATTATTTATTTTAATTCTTGCAAGCTTAAAATTCATTCGTTATAAGTAAAGTGCTAAAATTATTAGATGTACAACTTTGCTTCCGCCGTTTTGCAAGAGATGGCTGTAGCGGTAAATGGTAGTAAAAGTCAAAATAAAGATATCGTAAATGTCATACAATAAGCTTATTTATTTGTAAACATAATTCTATAAAAATATTAATCGATTTGTATCTACCTGATAAACTTGTTCTCGTTTAAACATGTCAACTTACGAGCCAAATTCTCGCCATTTGCGAGAGGTTTTAATTTTCTGCTTTAATATGAAGAAATCTGCTGCTGAGGCTCATCGAATGCTCTCAAAAACCTATGGTGAGGCTACTATTAGCAAAAGAACCTG